GGCCTGGCTGCCCCTCTCTGGGCCTCCCTCTCCAGGCTAGGCCGGGCCTGGGCGGAGCCTCGGCCAGGTGCGCCGCGGCGCTTCGCGGAGCCGGAAAGTGTGTCCCCAGCGGCGACCCGTGGCGAGCTCCCGCGAGACGCTCACCTGCGACCCAGGTGAGTGCAGAGGGGGGCGGGGGAAGGGCTGACCGGAGGCGGCTCACCTGGCGGGGCAGGTAAGTCCGGCGCGGACCCGCGGGGGCGCGGAGCGGTGCAGCCCCGGGCGGGTGACCCCGGAGGCCGCGCCTGGACGGCGGCGGGGCGCGGGCCCTGCTCTTCGGGACCCGACGCCCACTTCCGGGTGCGCGGGCCTGGCCGAAGCGGCCCGAATGGGCGCGGGCTGGGCGGGCCGGGAGGCCTGGGGGCTGGGGCCGGGCACCCGGGGGCCGGGGCTGGACCCGTCCGTGGCACGGCGTCGGGGCTCGAGGGCAGTGGCGCTGGCGGAGAGCGAGGCGCTGCGCGCCCCGACGGCAGTGCGGACCCGGCCGCCGGGCCTTGGCGCCGGCAGGGGAGGGCGGCTGAGGCTGCGCCCTGCGGGGTGCACCGTGCCCTGAGCTCGAACTGAGCCGGCCGCGGCTTGGTGACCCGAAGTTTGCCTGGGCAGAGGCTGGTACAGCCGGCTTGTCCTGTGGACGCAGGGAGGAGGGCTCGTGTGTGTGTGTGTGTGTGTCTGTTTGCGGGGACTGGCGGAAAGGCCAAGGCAGTGAGGAGTCAGAGTCCCGGGGCCACCGTAGCCTGGGGCAGCATCCTTGTGGTGCCTTCGAATGCCGGTGGGTGAGAGTCTTCCCAGGCTGTCTCTAAACACCCAGCACCCGATAACTCGGTGGAGCGCTAGAAAGACAATCTCTCCCCTTCTGAGAGATGAGGTTTAAAATTTGTATTTTTCATTCAAAAATAATGTTTATTTTTATGTATTTATTTTTAAACTGTTTAATTAAACAAATACATGTTTAGTTTAGTTTTTAGTTTGGTTTTTTTTTTTTTTAGAAAGGGTCTCATATGGCCCAGGCTAGACTAGAACCCAATATGCAGCTAAAGATGACTTTGAATTTCTAAACACCCTGTCTTGTGCTGAGATTACAGACATGGCTAAGGCGATCCTATTTAAACATGAGGAAACTGGGAGAAGAGTCAGTCATGTCCGGGCTAAAATAGAGTCGAGAATTGGTCCCAGTGTTACTAGATTGGCAGGAGAGAAGGACCAGCGATAGCAGTAGGAAAGGAGGGTGTAGCCTGGGCTTCCTGAGGGACACCAAGGCCAGGCACTATCCCTACTACAGTAGGAAGGCTGGCAGTGTGTTTGGTGTTGAGACAGGGTCTTTCTTGGGTAGCCCAGGCTGGTCTTTTCACAGAGTCTGCCTGCCTCAGCCTTTCAAATGCTGGAATTACCCAAGTGAGCCACCACTCCTGGTTTATCCGAGGCCTTGATTTTCTCTCTTCTCTGACTGGCTATGTGGCGCAGAGCAAAGGACCAGGGCTGAAGAGCCTAGCCTACCACACAACACATCCTGGTTCTTCCCAGCCTACTGTCTTGCTCTATCCCCTCCCTTCCCTGAGCTTCAGATTCCTGGGCTGTGGAGTGAAGGTAAATGATTCACACGGTGGTAGTATGGACTAAATAATGTGAAAGTTCTCTGGCCAGAGCCGGTTTCTGGTCCCTTCACTGTTTCCTCGGTAGGAAGGACGGCGGCGCTGGCCCATGCTGAATGTGTTGGATATGCATGTAAACCGTAGTGAGCCCCAGAACCCGTGGTAGTGGGAGACAACGACCCAGCCCAGCATCAGTAACCATGATGCTCCCAGGGACTCACAGAGCGAATGAGCGGGTGATGGGCTCTCCCGGAAGGCCCTTGAAAGTCCACAGATGGGATGGGGTAGTGGAGGGGTCCTCTGGAGAACTCGGGTGAGGCGAGTGGATGGCGCCTGAGTCCATGCCGACTGAGCACAAGCAGAAGTGTGTTTGTGGGAGCTGCCTAGGATACGGCTCTGTGGGTAGGGCCCTCAGCAAGCATGGGAGTTAGACCCCAAGTTAGGTCCCTAGCTGTGAAGGCAGGAGAATCAGTAGGTCAGTCTTGTGCCCCGCTACACTGTGAGTTTGGAGCCAGCCTTCGATACATAAGAGCCTGTCAGAAGAAACAGGCATGGCTTTGGACAACTTCTTTAGGCTTTGTGCTTCAGTGTAGTGGAATAGGACTAAGAAGGCCTTGAGAATGAATAGATTTATTACAGGCAACCTGCTTAAAGGAATGTAAGCCGTCCACAGTCACCTTCCTTGAGTGTAAGCTCCTAAGGTGAGAAGTTAGGCTGTCTTGCCGCTGTTCCGTACAGTGTCAGATGCACAGTAGGTCTTCAGTATTTGTTAAAGGACTAAATGAATTCATGCCCAACTTCACATCCATCCAGTCAGAGCAGTTACGTCCTTCTGGATCGTGAAGAACATTTTGTTCTGTTGAGATGAGGTCTTGCTCTGTATTGTTGATCCTCCTGCCTCAGCCTTCGTGGTATTAGGATGGCCGGTGTGTGCCACCATATTCCACAGTGAAGAAGTTTAAAGTCATTTATTACAATTTCAGTTTGTTTACTTTTTTCTTTTCTCTAATAGAGCGGCAGGGTGGGAAGTTTTTCAAGGGGAAATACCTCCCTCATATTATAGACTTCCAAAGATTGGGTCCATTCAGGCACACACGGTTCACTGAGATTGCTGGTTCCTGCTCTGATCCGCCTGGAGCTTAGACACTTTGTCTTCCCACCCAGTAGTCCTGTCCCTACCGTAAAGTCACACAGAGTGTGTCTGTGCCATGGAAGGGACTTGCAAAACTGATCCTGTTCTAGGCCTTGAGGATCATAATGCCTGGGGATATTGGCTTATCCTAAAGCAGTGATTACAGGCTCAATCTCAAGATCTCAGCAGAAAGAGAGCCTCCCATTGGGCCAGGGGACCTCCAGGTTCTTGGAAAGGAAAGCTGGTGGGCTACAGAGAAGACTGAAGTTCAGGAGGCAAGAACTGCTGTGTCCTCCTCCAGAACGGCTGTCCCTTCCTCCCTGTCTGCTCTACACAAGCTCGCTAGGCATGTGGTGGTTGGCTGGTTTAAACCACTGGTGTTTACGCTGCAAATAGGAGTCCTTCTGCCCCCAAGAGTTGTAGTGGCTGTTTCCTGAGCAAAGACACTAGGCTGTTCTGTTTCTCACAGAAATGTGTGTATGTGTGTACACATATAATGTGATTCTGTATATATATGTAAATGTATATATATATGGGGCTAAATAGATTGTTCAGCTGGCATACTTTTAATTCCAGTACTCAGGAGGTAAATTCAAGTAGATCTCCATAAGTTCAAATCCAGCCCAGTCAACGTAGCAAGTTCCAGGACAGCTACATAGTGAGACCCTGTGTCAAATTTTATATAGGCATATATATATGGAGAGAGGGAGACAGAAATTCTAGCACTCGGGAGGCAGAGGCAGGTGGATCTCTGAGTTTGAGGCCAGCCTGGTCTGCAGAGTGAGTTCATTCCAGAACAGCCAGGGCTACCCAGAGAAATCCTGTCTTGAAAAACTAAACTAAATATAAAATTAGATATATTTATAAACATATGTTTTCTACTTCCATTGGTTATTCACAATATCCAGGTTCCCGCTGTTCCTCTTGATCCCTGGCCCTGTGCGGACTGTGCTGGATGTAGTTGACAGGTCTCTGAAGCGGAACTGTCTGCCCTCTCCTCAGGGTCACATCCCAGGATGTGTTTGAGGCAGAAATACTTCACAACATGTCCTTCCTGTATTTAATGTCATTTCGTCTCACTGTTGGTGGCTTTGCCTTTGATCATTTACTTAAAGCAACACCTGGGAGAATTCTCTAGCATTGTGGGGTTTAAATTTGACACTGGCCGCAGCAAATAGAAAAGGCCAGAACAGGAGTGTGTTTGGGGAAGTGGCACTGTTTTGCCCAAGGCATGCAATATTTTGTTTGTTTGTTTTGAGACAGGGTGTCTCTGTGTAGTTCTGGCTGTTTTAGAATTCAGTCTGTAGACCAGGCTGTCCTTGAACTCAGAGACCTGCCCGCCCCTGCCTGTGCAGTAGTGCACACCTTTAATCCCAGCATTCAGTGAAGCAGGTGTAGGAGGATCTCTGTGAGTTCAAGGCCAACCTGGCGCCCAGAGCGAGACCAGGGTGTGCGTCGCCGCTGCCCAGCTCTGGATGCACATTTCATGAGGGCCAGAGTGGGAACTAGAAGATAGATCCTGGTGTCCACAGCCTCATTCCTTTCACATCATGAGCTCTTAGGACTCCAAGTGATTAGATCAGGGTACAAGAAGAAAGGGTAAGGGACAGCTCAGCGGCTAAGAGCACTGGCTGCTCCCCCAGAGGACCCTAGTTCCATTCCTAGAACCTATAGCAGCTCAAAATGCAGGCTAAGGACAACTACTGCCCAGCAAAGCTGCGCCTGTGGCTGAGGCCCTGCTGGTACGGCACTGTACAATCCCTCAGTTACTTCAGATTCACTCAGGCCCCACATGCTCCGTCCTGGGAGGCTTTTGGTTGGTTTGAGACAGACTGCCACTGGCTGGACCATCACCCTTTACATAGACCAAGTTGTCCTCAAACACAGAGATTTGGCTTCCCCCCATTCTGGCATTAAAATAGTAATAGTAAGTCACTGTGCCTACGTAGGGTTTTTTGTTTTTGTTTTTTTTTTTTTAATAGGATCTCTTATAGGCTGGCTAGCCTGGAACTCACTTTGTAATACAAGATGACCCAAAACTCCTAATCCTGCCTGTCACCCAAGTGCTAGATTTTCAGACAGGTCTTTTGTCTTGGGAGCTTTAATAGAAAACTGAACCATTTAGTACAGTTCATTTATCATTGGTTCTGCCTTGCCTGACACATGGCCAAGCTGCTGTTCATCAGTGAAAAAAAGTCGTAGTTCCGAGATTCCTAGCAAACAAATCAAAAGAGGAAAGATTAGTATTACTACTTTAAGACAAAGTTGTTTTCTTTTTTATTGCTTTTTGTTTGTGTCTGTGTCCGCACTTGAAGGTACACACTTGTGGAAGTCAGAGGACACCGCTGAGAACTGTTGTCACCTCCCTCCTGTTGGAGCAGGGTCTCCTGATTCTGCTGCTGTGCTGTGTACTCGAGGCTGGCCGCCCTGCAAGCCTCCAGTCAGTTCTGTCCCTGTCTCCTACCTCAGTGCAGGAGTGCCGGGATTACAGGCGCTCGTCTCTGCATCCAGCCTCCGTGGGTTCTTTCCTGAGGAGTGCTCTCACCGCTGAGCCATCTTCCTGGCCCGTTAGGATTCTTTTTGTGGCGAGGAACCAAACTTCGGAGTTTTGCTAGGCAAGGTAGTACACACCCCTTTAATGCCAGTACTTGAGAAGGAAGAGCCAGGAGTTTAAAAAGCAGTTTTGTCTGGGAGGCCAAACTGGCTACGCAAGACCCTCTTGTCCTAACAGAACCAACCCTTCCCTCTCCAGAAAGAAAAAGAGATGTCTGCTTGATGGTAAATGTTTCTATGAAGGCAAATCTGAATAAGATGAGAGACCTGTCCCATGTCTGGGATGAAGGGTCTGAAGGAAGGAAGGATTGCAATGATGATCTTGGCCAGTCAGACAGAAAGACATCTGCTGAGTAGAAGCGGTAGGCTTAGTGATGCAGAAGGTGGGACCAGTTCTCAGAGGTAAGGTCCCAGGAGTGCTTTCCTTGTTTGTGGTAAAATATACATTAAATCACCATTGTTAATCTTCTTCATGTCATTCTTTAGCACATCGTCTTGTGGCATTAAATACATGTATGTTCTTTCCAGAGCTAGGACACCTCTCCCACTCTCCTGTGCCTCAGCCCCTGGCATCCAGCACACAGCTTCCACATCTGTTAAATTCAGATGTGACAACTTCATGTAAACCAAACAATAGAGTACTTGTTCTTTCTGTGTAGCTTATTTCATTTAGAATGTCTTCAGTGTTCGCCCATGTTGGGATTAGTTTTTTGTTGTTTTGTTTTTGTTTTATTTGAGAAAAGGTTCCTCCGTGTAACCCTGGAACTCACAGAGATCTGCCTGCTTCTGCCTCCTAAGTGCTGAGATTAAAGGTGTGCACCCAGCTAAGTTCCTCCATGTTGAAGCACAAAGGAATTTCTTTTTCTTTTTTTTTTTTGGTCTTTCAAGACAAGGTTTCTCTGTATAGCCCTGGCTGTCCTGGAACTCACTCTGTAGACCAGGTTCCCCTCAAACTCAGAGATCCTCCTGCCTCTGCCTCCTAAGTACAAGAATTAGAATTTCATTCCTTTTAAGGGCTAAATGATACCCCGTTATATAATATTCCATTTTTTATGAATCCATTCATCCATTGATGTACTTTTAAATGTTTAACCTTTCCTCTTTTTCTTATTTCAACATAATATTTTTATTGATTATTTGGGAGTTCACAAACTGCACCTCACCACACTCATTTCCCAGTCCTCCTACATCCACATCTCTACCCTTGTCACCCTCCCCTCCCCTACAAAGAGGAAAACAACAAAAAGGCACGGTGGTACACACCTTTAATCCCAGCAGTCAGAGCAGGTCAGCCTGTGTGAGGCCAGCCTGGTCTACAAAGCAAGTCTGGGACAGCCATGACTGCACAGAGAAACCTGCCTCAAAAAACCAAACCAAACCACCACCAACAAAAAAACCACAAGTCCAATTTGTATTGCCTATATACTTACTGGTGCATGGGTGAATGCCCATTGGCCAGCCCCTAAACAATCTGAATCCTTTCCCTTCAGCATCCCTGCCAGAAGCCACCAATCGTGGAGACCTTCACTTTAGCATGCTTATCACAATTTTAAGAGTTCTCTTGGGTTTAACCTTTATTTTATTTTATGTTCATGAGTGTTTTGCCTGTATGTGTGTCTGCACGCCATGTGCATGTGGCCCTTGTGGTAGCCAAGAGAGGGCATCAGATCCCCTTGGGCTGCAGTTACATGTGGTCCTTAGTGGCCGTGTGGGTGGTGGTAATCAAACCCAGGTCCTGAGGGAGGGCAGAGAGTGCCCTTAACTGCTGAGCCATCTCTCTAGCCCCCCACTGATGAACTTTTGGGTTGGTCTAACTTCATGGTTATTGTAAATAATGCTACCATGAACACTGACAAACAAATGTCTGTTTCAAATTTCAATTTTCAGTTCTTTTGGGTATTTACCAAGGAGTGAGTTTGCTGGTAAAGTTGAGGGGTTGAGGGGGTTAAAACTATTTTATTTTATATAGATATAGGTATATTTGAGATTTTATTTGTTTTGAGAGTGGTTCTCTCTATCTCTGGCTATTCTGGAACTCACTGTGTAGACCAAGCTGGCCTTGAGCTCTCAGAGATTCTCCTACCTCTGTATATACCTATTCCCAGAAGAGATTTTATATATATATATATATATATATATATATATATATATATATATATAT